CCCCCAGGTGTCGAAGCGTAGCGGTTTTCCCGTCCCAACATGCGCATGAATGGAGATACAGAACCATGAAACACGCTAATTCCTCCATGCTCTGCCCAATGCCCTTGCGGCGCAGACTCCCGTTTATGCTAGCAGCCGTTCCGCGCGGCGCTCTTGGCACTTTGCCAAGTCCTCTATTGCGCTTTGGAATATAAAGCGCAATTACAGGACTTAGCAGAGTCTTTGATTTTTCTGATGCGGATAACATTTGAGGTGATGCAAAATAAGAACCGAAGATGATGACGAGGGCCAGAACTCAAGAGCAACTGTGCTGCTTCTGCAATATCCCTCGGAGGCCGCGCATTCTCACAAAACATGAAAATAAAAACGGCCTAAGCGTCCTACTTGTTAGTTCAAAGTATTTTTATGGCTTTGGAGCCGAAATCGCGCCGAATTGCAGAAATTTACACGCGATTCTAAAAAATCTGTATTTCCTTAATTTTTCCATTTTTTTACATACATCACATTCGTTGTCCTTAATTTCTAGCCTTTGTCATCTTCATCACCTTCTATTCAGACTTTGCAGCATGAGGAACACCTCAAGTGTTATCCGCATCAGGAAATTACGTTTTACCTGTACTTCAAAGCGCAATTACACGACTTGGCAATGTGTCAAGAGCGCAGCGCACGACACGCGGAACGGCTGTTAGCATAAACGGGAGTCTGTGCCGCAAGGGCACTGGGCGGAGCATGGAGGAATTAGCGTGTCTCACGGTCCTGAACCTCCATTCCTGCGCATGTTCGGGCGGGAAAACCGCTACGCTTCGACAGCTTTGGACTGCTAATCACGCACACCCAAACTATGCGTGATCATACCATGTGTCTTTAATCTAGCCTCCCCCCTCCTGATGCGGATAACATTTGAGGTGTTGCTCATGCTGCAAAGTCCGATTAGAAAGTGATGAAGATGACAAAGGCTAGAAATGAAGAACAACGGATGTAGATGTAAGTAAAACAATGAAAATTAAGGAATTACAGTTCAAGTAGAATCGCGTGTGAATTTCTGCAATTCGGCGCGTTTTCGGCTCAAAAGCCATTAAAATACTTTAAACTAATGAGTGGGACGCCTAGGCCGTTTTCAATTTCATGTTTTGTGGGAATGCGCGGCCTTCGAGGGATGTTGCAGAAGCAGCACAGTTGTTCTTAAATTCTGGAACTCGTCATCATCTTCGGTTCTTATTTTGCAGCACCTCGAATGTTATCCGCATCAGGAAACTTAGAGGACAGTGCCAAGAGCGCCGCGCGGAACGGCTGTTAGCATAAACGGGAGTCTGCGCCGCAAGGGCATTGGGCGGAGCAAGGAGGAATTAGCGTGTTTCACGGTTCTGTATCTCCATTCATGCGCATGTTGGGACGGGAAAACCGCTACGCTCCGGCAGCTGGCGGGCTGATAGTCACGCACAACCGAACTATGAGTGATCGTACCATGTGTCTTTAATCTAAGTAGGCTCCACCGTCATCAGTGGTTCGCTCCCCGTGTTTTCGATAGACAGCAGTGATATGTGGTCGGTGGTGTAGGGGATAGGTAAGCTGCTTCATAGTCGCGTGGTCAGGGGTTCGATTCCTTTGCAAGGTCGTGTTTTTGCTTTTGAGCGAAGCATCTCCTGTTCCAGAAAAGACGTTTATGCCGTTATTCTTCGAGTGTGCTCTCATTTGCAGAAGGGATACAGTCAAATGCTCGCACTTTGTCAGTTGCGCTTCTATTTCGAGATTTCTCGAAAAATTAGCTGGTTCTCAGATGGTACATGATACCTCTGAAAACCATGAGTCAAGCTACAACTATTCAAGAGCACACATGCGGTTGTTCTTTCACAAAATGGATGAAACAAAACAACTTCTCACACGAAGCACAACTGATGAAAAACTGTCCCTTGGTGTAGTCACATCAATTCAGAAGGGAATAAGTAGTGACCAGGTGATACAAGCTCACCAGGATTTACATCAAAGTATCCCGCCACATACAGGAGCAGTACAGAAGGTTCCCAAATCGAGAAGAGCAAAGTTGAAAATAAACTAGAGAGAAGAAAAATAGAGTGCCGACTGCGTATAGAGAAATTGATATCGGGAGGTACTACTCAGGAAGTGAAACGTTTATAGATCCACTAAACAGTAGAAAGGAGTAAATCCAATTACGGTTGTAGCACCTGGTGGTATGTTGAGAACTTTTCAACGCTTTTCAGGTGACATAACCAGTTGAATGAGCTTGCAGTTTAAAAGAGCTCCACGAATCAATTATCACAGGCGTTGACTGGATAGGAAACGCAGGATCTTACCCAGTCTAACATAAGAGGCTTACTTGTAATAAGAGTTTTATCCGCACAAAATGTCCTTTGGAGGAGAACACCCAATTCGGTTCGTATTAAACTGTTAATTTGAAGTAACTAAAGTAATTCTCCATCGAAGAAAAACGGGTCTGAAAGCACATCACATGTGCTCAGTAGCTATAGTTTGACTCATTCACGTACAATCTGAAAACCAACTATTTTTTCGAGAAATCTCAAAATAGAAGCACAACTGATGAAGTGTCAGCATTTGACTGTATCCCTTCCGCAAACGAGAGCAGACTCAAAGTAACAATAATCGTCCTTTCTGGCCTCACAGAAGATGCTTCGGACAGAAGCAAAAATACTACCTTGCCAAGGAATCGAACCCCAGACCTCGCGGCTATGAAGCAATCTACCTATCCACCACTCAACCGACCACACATCACTGCTGTCTATCGAACTTAACTTAAGCTAGCATAAGGAGTACTTGGCGGGTACTGTGCTAGACCCCCCCCCCCCTTACTCCTCCTAGAGAATCGTTCAGCAAATTCTGAAACCAGATTTGAGTTCAGTGTCCCGAGAGGCACACGCCAATATGCATTTCATCCTGAATGGCCATGGCGACCTGTTGACGTAAGCGCAATTACAGGACTTGGCAAAGTGCCAAGAGAGCCGCCCGCGACCCGCGCGCAAACGACTGCTGTTAGCATGAACGGGAGCTTGCGCCGCAAGGGCATGGGCGGCGTGGAGGAACTAGCGTATTTTGTCACGCACACCCGAACTATGAGCGATGTATCTTTGAGTTGAGAGAATGGCGTATCAGGAATTGGTCCTTTTTTATGAATATGATCTTCCTCTGCTTCAGTCATGAACAGGCTCTGCCGTGCTGTCGAGTTAAGCTAGCATCCGCTATGCTTCCTCAATATTTGCTGTTATTAAGACGATTTCGTCCGCAATGCGAAAGTACCGCCGACGTCGACCTTCCCTTAAATTTATTTTCGTTCCTGTTGCACGACTATGATTATAGAATGGCGAAATCTGGTCTGGAAGTGCTGTGGAGCTCACGAAAAGATCTCGTATTCTGAATATTGATTCCCTGGTTCTCCACTGCCAGTGGATGCTACCAGGATAGTTCAGTGAGCCTCCATGCATTGTGGATATTACTCCCTAGAGAGCATGTAAGTCACAGACAACAGACAGACTGGGTGATGAATGCTAATGTCGTGCAAGTCTACTTTCTTACTCAATGGCACTATCGTGCTGGTTTTCCTGGAGGTAGTTACTTTGCATTTCTGCATAAAGAGCCCGACCAAAGTTAAGAAGGCAAGAGAAAAAAAAGGAAGTTTCTGTGTCATTGATAGTATCCACATGATTGCAAAGCTTACTGAAGAACTGCTACAGTATAGGAGATGGCGAATTAGCCGTAGCGTTTGTTGTGCTCAAAATAATGAAGCTTTTCAAAGAATGAGGCTTTTCGAAAACCGTTTTACCCTAGCCATTTTTTCCTTGTGGTTTCCTAAGTTGGGTCAGTAGCTTACGATCGTTCAACCGTCTTTGCTGCATTGATCGTGGGACATTTTTCATTTGACCTCTACGATTTCACCACTTGACGCACGCCTGCACTTCGTTACAATTTAGATGACTTTATTGTTGTCCCTTTCGCCAATGTAGTCTTTGTAAATTCGGCGCACACGCAATAATTCAGATGCTCCTGCAAACAATTTCTAGACTCCTTGCTGTTCACCCCAAGACCAAATTTTTTTATTAAGTGAATGAAGCTTCAATGCATTGACTGGTCGTAGTTGGCCGTATCTTTTTTTCATGTCCACAATGCAGGTCAGTTCCCACTTACTGGCGGTGATCTAGTGAGTTTGAAGTGAGGCTTCAGTTCCCAAGTAGTGGCAGAACTCCCCCTCTCAGACTGCGCATGTTTCACAGCGGGGAACCTCTCGTGCAGTAATAAGGAACGAGAACGTAACGAATTTCGTTAATGTATAGAAAAGAGGGCGCCCATACCTTTTGGCCACCGTTTGGTAAGAAGTCTGGCAGGAAAAGTCGCGGCGCTAAGTCAGCGCTGGCACCACGCGAAGTGAATGGGTCCACTGCTGCAGCAGCGTGCTATTTTCTGCTGGTGCTCAGAAACGGGTCGGGGATGTGTTAGCCGGTTGCCATACCCATACTCCGACTCCACTATCCTCACTGTGCACCTTCTCGGTCCATACTAAGAGCTCGCGGCGAAACACGCACTTAGCGATAGAGAAGAACAGAACCTGATATGATGCTCACAAGTAGCGCGTTTGGCTATATTTTGTCATGTAGCTCACCGTGCGGCAGCGAGGGCAGAGTACAGAGACGGCTCCCGGCTATCAATGATCGCCAGTCTCGTTCGCGTGCACTCTCGAGCGACGATAGCGGCACGCTACTGCAGCTCCAAGCCCATTCACCCCACAAACGGCAACGAACACGATCCGCAGAAGTGAGTGTAGAGTTTGTCTATGAAATAACAGCTATATAGTATCGTGTACTTGAAAAAAAACCATCTACCAAAGCTTTGCTGATCACGTGTCATGAATTTAGGATGTTCGGCATGAAAACTGGCACCGACTGCATATTGATGTTTTTCTAAATCCGAATTTCGATGATGTACACGAAGTCATTGTTGATGGAAGAGGTAATTGGATTTGCGTACGTGATCCAATGTACATTTGGACTCGGTGAGGATTTCAAATCTGTATTCTCCTAAAAACATGCAGAGTGCGTCTGTGTCAGGCTCATGATTTGATAGGGATCAAGCAATAGAACTGAGATCGAAACTCCGAATGGACCTCACTATATTCTGTGACTCTCTCAGTTCAGCAGGCCATGCCTTGGATGATCCCGTTGAGTATGTTTTTCTGCATTATATCCATGATTATAGATGACCGTAACTTTTCATAAGTTCCCTCCTTATGAAGGGAACGTCGCTTCATTCATCCCGAGTCAGGACGATGGCTTTACCGTGGCGAGCGACCACCTCACTACGCACGTCATCTACCTGCACCTGGACACGAAGTACTGGTTCACAACACCACTAGGGTGAGTAGAGTAGATCATCACAAGCTTCACTCTCACATTTGCTAGGAAGTCGCTTAGGACATAGAGCGCTTTCGAAAACTTTTTCGGATGATGTAGGTGCACATGCATGAATGCATGAACCATCGGATTGAGGTTCCTTTTATTCTGCGCTTCTTGCTGCAATACCAGACAAGGAAGATGAAAGAATTCTATGGAATGGTTCATTTAGAGCCTCTATGCGCTATAAATCACTAGTGGAAGGTGTTGTTGAAGGGATTGCTGAAACCAAGGTAAGCAATAGTCGCAAGTGAGTCTTACAAGGGAGGTCGTTCCGGACGTGGAGCGCTTTTTGAAGACGGTTTTTTGCACGATGTGGGGTCACGTGAATGGATTACCAAACTGAACTTCATTTTTCCTGAACGCCTCTGTGAATACCAAGAAGGAGAGAAAAAGAAGTGTATGGAAACCGATTGTTTTTGAGCCGGCTCTGAATCACTTACAACTTTGACCAGGTTTGAGCGAAGGGTTCTTATAAAGGTACTATTGAAATTGAGAAGAAAAATAGTCGCAGACGGGGTCTTAATTTTGGCACGTGATTAAGAATGAACGGCTTCTTGGATTGGCTCTTTAACGATCGGAGCGGTGTTCAGCTACAACGATCGGATGGTCTAGCAGATAGCGTGGAGGATTCTCAAACGGGCAGTGGGAGTAGGGTTGATGGTTCGACTTCCCTCGGCTTGACAAATTTTGCATTTTCCGTCTTTCGCTGATTTCGCTTCCATATATGTCTGTGCGTGGATATAAAATGGATATTTGCCATTTATGGACACATTCTGTACAGTTTCACCCTATGAGTCGGTGCTATTCAACGGCTTCGGTTTTCACATACCAATAAGCAAGAGTTTTTCTGGAAGTTGATGTTTATATCCAGGGCCCTGATCACGACTATGGCACTTACCTGAAAATGAGTGCCATTCGGAGTGAAGCAGTTATCCCCCTCTGACTTCTGCAACTGAGGGCTATTCGTATGGCTCGGCTTAGCCGGGCAAGCCTCCTTCCGCGTCGGGCGATTCCTTCCGCGTGTGAACCCTGAAATGTGCAAATGAATGGGAATTGGATGGAGAGAAGCGCGTCTTTCCTCTGACTTTTGCGAATGAGGGCAACTGGGATTCTCCTCTCGCGTGTGAACACTAACTTCTGCAACTGTGGGCTACTCGTATCGCCCCGCTGAGCTGGGCAAGCTTCCTTCCGTATGTGAACTGGGTATTCCCTCACTTTTGCAAATGAGGGCCATTTGGAGTGAAGTGGGTATTCTACCTGATTTTTGCAAATGAGGGCCGGTCGGAGCCTACTTCCACGTGTGATCCTGACTTTTGCAAATGAGGGCCATTCAGTGAAAAGCGAGCATTCTCCTCACTTTTGCAAATGAGGGTGGTTTGGAGTGAAGTGGGTATTCCCCTGATTTTTGCAATTGTGGGCTATTCGTATCGCTCGGCTTAGCCGGGCAAGCCTCCTTCCGCGTGTGAAGTGGGTAATTACGCTGACTTTTGCAAATGAGGGCAATTGTTATCGCCCGGTTATGCCGAGCGATCCTCCTTCCGCGTGTGAACCCTGAATTGTGCTAATGAATGGCAATCGGAGTGAAGTGCGTATTTCTCCTGACTTTTGCATATGTGGGCAACTGGGATTCTCCTTCCGCTTGAATGAGGGCAATTGGGATCGCCCGACTTTGCCGAGCGACCCTCCTTAGGCGTGTGAACTCTGAATTGTTACACTTGTGAACCCTATTGCGCAAATGAATGGCAATCAAAGTGAAATGCGTATTCTCCCTGAATTGTGCAAATGAGGGTCACTCGCATTCTCCTTCCGCGTGTGAACACTGACTTTTGCAACTGTGGGCTATTCGTGTTGTCCGGCTTAGCCCAGGCATGCCTCTCCTTCCGCGTGTGACCGTGAGGTATTCACCCTGACGCCGCATATGAGGGAAATTAGGGATCGCCCGCTTTGCCGAGCGATCCCCCTTACGAGTGCAACGTGGGTATTCCCTCACTTTTGCAATGAGGGTATTCTCCCTGACTTTTGCAAATGAGGGCCAGTCGGAGCCTACTTTCTCGTGTGAACCCTGACTTTTGCAAATGAGGGCCATTCGGAGTGAAGTGGGTATTCTCCCTGATTTCTGCAGATGGGGGCCCATTTGAAGTGAAGCGGGTATTCTCCCTGATTTCTGCAGATGGGGGCCAGTCGGAGCTTACTTCCCCGTGTGAAGCCTGAATTTTGCAACTGAAAGCTGTTCGTATGGCCTGGCTTAGCCGTGCGATCCTTCTTCCGCGTGTGAAGTGGGTACTTATCCTGAATTCTGCAAATGGAGCAGTTGGGATCGCCCGGCTTTGCCGAGCGATCCTCCTTACGCGTGTGAACCCTGTATTGTGCAAATGAATGGCAGTCGGAGTGAAGTGCGTATTCCCCCGACTTTTGCAAATGAGGGCAAGTGGTCTAGTGAAATTTGGGTGCAGTTGTTCGATATCGTACAACTGCGAAAGAACTGAATTTTTTCATAGATCGTGCGAAGTTCTCTTCTTCGTGAAGGATGGACTGTGCCATCTCTGAGAACGGTTCTTGAAGGAAAAGAAGAAAGATTGTAGATAGATAGGAGAGAAGAAAGAGTCAGCAGTGTGTTTGTGTGTCTAAGTGAGCTTTCGAAAATTGGAGACTACATGAAATATCACTTCTAAGGAATGGATCATTATTGTGATGGATCTGACATGGGCCAACGTTTACAGAGCACGCACAAGACAACTTACATTCCGCGTACCATGGGTGGGGCGTACGTCGATGTCGATGGTAGAGAGGAGAAAAATACTCAGACTTCTTCCAGAGCACTGTTGGAAATATGAGTGCAGCGGGGCAAGGAGCTGCCAGATATATTAAGAGACAGGCGCCTTTAGTAAGTGAAATGGCGAATGGGTGGTGCTTGCTGCGCTATTTCATCATTCATTCGTACATCATCATTCAGCTCTAACAAGGGAACCCCAACAGGTCGATCCGGCCATTTACAATGAGATGTATACGTATGGATGTGTCTTGAGCCGCTGAATCCGAATCTGACCTCCGATTTTGCGGAACGATTCTCTGAAGGGAGTTACGGACCATTTAATCTTTGCTGTGTTTGCACAAACTGACCAGGAAAGGCTAACACGTCATCCCGGCCATTTGCAACGAAATGTACATCATTGTACTTACCTTGCCACGATGAACACAAGACTATCTTTAAAATTTGCGGAACGATTCTCTGAGCGAAGTTGTGAGGTTTTTCTTTATTGCTTTTCTTCTTCCGGGCGCGCCAGCGCCAAAGCGTTAGCACCTGTAGCGCAACTCACAGCGCTCTTTACGCAAAACAGGTATCATATTCGTGTTCAGGGGGTCAAATAACCCTTACAGACGTCACCCCAGCAGAATCTGAGGTTCTAACTCATTTTCGAGAAAATAAGTTATGAATAGCTG